GGTTGGGCTGTGCCTTAGAAGCACCCTAATAAGTCATTGGGGTACTAATTAAATTACATTTTCATGGCTCCACTCTAGATCCTCTGAATCAGAATCGTCAGGGAGGAGGCCTGGGAGCATGTGATTAACAGGGGATTCTTATCAGGAAAGTCTGGGAAACAGCAAATAGAATACATTTTGTTCATAAACATAGTTGGAATAAGTTTTGGAAAGAATGGTTGAAGATGAGATTGAAGGTTCTGAGTCATTTTATATCATGTTTGTCTTTTGTGATTGGTTTTCTATATGTATCCTGCCTAATGCTGCTTGCTTCTCAAGAATCAGCAGGTACATCAAGCTCAGCCTTTGCTTACACTTAGAGAACTTTATGTAAATTGAAGTAATGTGTTTAAAGTTTATACCTCAGCCCAGTGTACAGTGTCCCCAACTTTACTTGTACTCATGTATTGAGAAACTGCTGAAGAGCAGAGCAAAGAATAGAATAAACATGGTTTGTCTCCAGCACCTCTCTTAGCTCTAAATGGCACCTCGTATTAGCAGACTTTACCAGACTGAAGTTTGAAGGTTCATTGTGCAGACGCATGGCTAATAAGTAGTTCAGCTGATATTTGAGCCTATGTCTATGAAGCAGAATGAATTTGGTTTGCCAAAATGTGGTGAGTATGATCTCATACACGTATGGAATCTAAAAGCTGATTTCATAGAAGTAGGAGAGTAGAAGGGTGGTTACCAGTGGCTGAGAAGGGTAGAGAGGGAGAGCTTGTTCAATAGGTACATAGCTACAGTTCAATAGGAAAAATAATTTCTAATCTTCTGTTGCACAGTGGAGTGATTATACTTAGCAATATTGCACTGAACATTTCAGAATAGCTAGAAGAGAGAAATTTGAATATACTCATCATTGAGAAATGATAAATGTATGAGGTAATGGATATACTAATTAGCACGATGTGATTACACAATATTGCAAAACATCACATTGTACACCACAAATATGTACATTTATTATATGCCAATTAAAACTAATTTTTAAGTGATAAGCAAAGTGTTCATACCTCAGTTAAAATGAGTGAATTGCAAAATGCAGGGTGGAAGCCAAGGACCACAGAGGAAAGCTTTTGACATTTGTTAGGATGTGAAAATGTATGCCCAATATTTGCTGATCTTTTTTTTCTTTTAATAAAAGGTAATTATCAATATCTTGTATGACTGTATCTACATTTAAAAATATTTATTTTCTCTCTATATAAAAAATTAAAACAATATGTCAGCATTATGATACAAAGTGCATTGGTGGGTGGAAAGTAGCTCAAAAGGCTCCTGATGTGAGAACTCTGGATTTAATAATCTCTAAAATGTAGGCTGCTTTATAGAATATATTTCTCATTGGGATGGTAGTTTTCCTCTTTTTTTTAAAATTTTTTAATTTAAAAAAAAATTTGTTTTAGTTTTCCTCTTTTGAGAGTCACTCAGCAAGGTCAATTAAGTAGATTGTGGGTCATTCCTGCTCAATATAAAAAGATTTACATTTAACTAATTAATTATTTATTTGTTTGTTTCTTTGTAGTCCTGGGGATGGAACCGAGGGCTGTACTACGTTACACCCATTATCCTAGGATTTAAACTTTAAAGCAGAAATTTGAAAAGATTGTCATCTATTAATTACCTTCCAACCTGGTCCTTTCTCCTAGGTCTCTTGAATGTACAACTTCTTTCCTGCTAACATCCATCATCTGATATAATTATTACTTTTCATGAATGAGAAATGCTGATGGGAGTCATTGTAAGATGGCGAGGTGCTGGGGCTGGAAGAGTGGGGGAAGGGTGCTGGACAGCTAAGGAGGACCCTATAGGGGCAGTGAGCCAGCCACTACTGTATTTCCACTAAAATTCATTCAGAATGTAAAGGAGAAAGGAAAGAGGAGGGCAGTATATGAGTTAATAGAGCACCCACTGTAATTGTAAAGATTTTTAAAGGGTACAGAGAAAAGCAGACCCAGAGAAATTCTTTAGCAATGAAATGTTTTCTAGTCATTATAGAAACATTTCTTAGGAAATGAATGACTTGGGTGAAAATGTGATTCTTGCCTGGGTCTGTGGAATGAAAAGCTGATTGCTGATTATCTGTGTGAACCAATAAGTATTTTTCTTAGTGTAAACTTGCTAGTCAGGTATACCAGGAATTACCAGAGGTTAACAACTCCCAGATATGTTTGATATTTGTTTAATTAATCTTATGTTTGTGTTCTCAGGAAATTAACTTCTGAAATATTAAGAGCCAGGGAGAATTTAAACTGCTGTATGAAACTATCAACACTAGAGAAATATACACCTTTATGTCTTAGTAAGAATTTAATTGCAAGGGAAAACTTCCCTTTTAAAGTTTCCAGATCAGCTGACTTCAACCTTCTAAAAATCTGACATTTGTTATAATAGTCACCTAATGAACATGATGTGCAATTCATGAAAGTTCTTAGTATTTATTTTAATTAATTTCTTCTGCTATCTATTTTTTTTTATTCCTTAAGTTTATTGGTACCCTTTAAGTATACATTCTGATCACGTTCATTATTGAGAATTTGTACCTGTACATAATTATCTTCATTCTTATTTTTTCCTATTCCCCTTCCTTCCCTCCAACCCCTCCACCCCTTCCTATTTACGTAAGCTTTGTTTTCATTTTTTCCTTCTTTTTTTGTTTTTTTCTTTTCTATTGATTAATTTATATAGCGTGATCTTATGTTTTTATCCTGGGGGAGATTCTTGGATGTGTTATGAACTAATTTAGTAACTCAAACTGTCATTATAAGTTACAATTTAAGAACTAAGCTATTTTTAATAGTGAAAGTGAAAACTGGGCTTTTCAAATATATTTCAGAAGTAGGCATTTTAAAATTATTAAAATGATAACATTTCTTTGATCAATAAGTATATATTGATATAGTTTCCTATGAGTGAATATTTTAGAGGACAAACTCTAAAGGACAGAGGTCTGATAGTGATAGAACTTTTTTTTGTTCTTATCCTTTGTGTAAAACTGATAAGATTGACTTTGTAATAGAGTCTATAGAAGACTGACTTCCTAATAGGTGCATGTATTACAAGCCTAATATCCAAACACAAATATATGTACCTGGAGGGTATATTCTTTGCATTAAAAGTGACTTCCTATCCTTATTTATTTGTATTATTTTCCTTCAGATACATACAATATTTAAATATCTGATGGATTTTAAAGAGGCTATTTGTAATTCAATTTTTTTCTGTAAATGCATTAATAAAGTGATGTCAAATAATAGTAATCTCTTGGATTGCTCAAGACTTGATATAAATAAGTGTACTAGCAAGAATGGATTATTAAAAATATTGTATTGATTTGGTAGACTAGATTTATCAGTGCTACTAAGTGATGGTTTGCCATTTTGGATCCATGAAAGCTGGATACAGTTTTAATGTCCTTAAGGGATTAAGATAGCACTTTAGAGAAGCAACTCAACATTCACATTATAAAATTAGGATGTTTAGATAAGAAACAGGCTTAAATAAATTGCCCAAACTACTTGAATGCTTTAAAGAACATTTTGTACCTGGGGTTGCATTTGAATATTTACTTACATGTCCATCACCTCACTTGGACCCTGAACACCCAGAGAATGGAATCTATGTCTTCATCATCTCTGCACTCCTAGTATTGTGTCTAGCATGTAACCTTGTTTTAATCTAGGGCAGTCTGTGGACACCTGAATCAGAATTATGTAGAGTTTTGTTAATGAGTAGGACAAATCCACAGATTTACCAGATAAACATCTCCAGAGGTGAACTCTAGCCTGAGAGCAAATGCAATGATGTTAATAAAGCAAAGATAGAAACCAAGGCCCCGGACCTTGCTCTCCACACACTTGGTGACATCCTCTGACCATAGTGGCTAAATTTTCAAGGGATCTTCTAAGATCTAGTCCTCTAGATATACAGATAAATGAAGCATATTTACAGTTAAAACTCTTGACCAGAAAGACATGGCTGGAGTCAGCCTTAGCTATCTGTGTCAGAGGACTGATGTAAACATTAAGCAAGACAATAAATATAAAAGGTTTTCCAAAATTCTTAGAATATGTTTGCACTTATAAATGTTGGGTTTTTTCTCCCTTTTTCTTTTCTAAGTAAAGTGGTTACATTCCTGGTGGGACTTAGAAAATAAAGAAAACTTGAAAATGAGTAAGTTAAATGTTTTCTTCTAACAAACCATCCCAAAACTTGGTGATATAATATTTATGGTGGTTTGATAATTTGGGCTGAGCTGAGCTGGGTCAGGGGAAGGCAAGGGCTCATGGTAGTAGCCAAAGGGCTTCTCAGAGCAGTGAGAAAGAGAAAGCCCAAAGAGCAAGCACTTCTCAAGCCACTGCTTGTGTCCTGGTTGCAAGTCTTTTTTTTAGCCAAAGCAAGACATGCAGCCAAGAAAGAATATTCAGCAAGTAGAGAAAGAATCCACCTCCCGATAGACAAAATGATGTGCAAAAATGGATGGAAAGAATTTGTGACCTAAAGAATTTTTGTAATCTACCCAGAATGGGTTTTATTGAGTGTTTTTCAGATGTTAAGCTGGGTTCGCATGTTATTCCTTTATTCCTCATGACAATTTCCTGACATATGTGGCATTATTGCCATTTCAAAGACAAGAAAAGAGATCAGACAAGTTAAAAGACTTGTTATATATTAAGGCCAGAATGGCCTTAATACTTCAGTGGCCTTTTATGCACTGTCTATTTTAGCTTAGGTGATTAGATGATCAGACAGAAAGTGCATGCTTTCCTTAATGAAGATTTGATTAAAATAGAATTCCAACGATTTTTCCTTTCCCACTTATCTATTGAACCATTGGGTCATATGTTGACTTGGGGTAGAATAAAATTATTATTAAAATTTTGTTCTCTTTTAAAACTTTGTAGAAGCTCATAGGAATTGTGTTGTTGTTGTTCTTTTCTGTCCTGTCACCTGCACAGCCTGGATCTCACTGCGTCCTGGACATGACTGAGCCTCTTCAATGGGCCAGATACCACTGGCAACGGCTGATGGGTGGGAGAATCAGGAGTGAAGATGAGAGGCTGTACAACTACTCCTCGCTGCTTGCCTGTGGGGGGAAGTCCTCCCAGACCCCAAAACTGGCAGGAAAGCAGCACCGTGTTGTTATCCCCCACCTTCAGCCCTTTAAGGATGAATATGACAGATTTTCTGGAACCTATATGAATAACCGAATACGAACAACCAAGTACACGCTTCTGAATTTTGTTCCAAGAAATTTGTTTGAACAGTTTCACAGGTACTATTTAAAAAAAAATCTTAGAATGCTCTTTATCATTCTAATGGGTATGTAATTTTTTTCACTTTTGTAACATTATCTGTACTTAAGCCTAAGGCTGGTGACGTCACCTGTGGCAATTAGGGTCCAATTCTGCTGTAGAATGACCCTTCATGTTCACATAGCACTTCACAATTGGTAAAATGCTTTCTCTTTACCAGAAAAGATAGTATTTTATATCATTAGAGATTAGGAAATTCTGACTATGGTTTATCCAGTGTCATATTAGTGATGAGTAGCTAGGGCTATAGCTTTGGGTCTTCTCCGTCTAGTTCAGTGTTCATTCCATTAAACCATCCTGCATTTTAATTTCAGATTTTTCTTACTTGATAGGATGGGAAAATAGAGCAAATGTACAGGGTGTTATTAAGTGAAACAATTACATAATTCAGTTTAGTAGGCGATTAGTGGCATTCACCTCAGAGTTTAGGCACTGAAGGAAATGCAAATGTAATTGTTAGTCCTTTCCTTATGGAGTTTGGAATTCACCCATGGAAATATGGTATGTATACAAATGGTGAAAGGACATAGTGGATGTGATTAGTGTTGTAAAGTGCTATCAAGGCGAACAGAGGCCTCGGAGAAATCATAATGCTAACTGGAGCAGTAGAAGATGATGTGACATTTGACTTAATCATGGAGGGTATGTGAGATATTCCAGGCAGAAATGTGGGCAATGCTTATATCAGAGGGAGGAAGGAGTATGAGTAAAAGTATAGAACCAGTAGAATAGAATGGTTATTTGAAGCCTTGGAAGTGGTCCTTTCTAATAACACAAGGACCTGTGCTGGGGGCCAATAAGGAAAATGTTGGAAAAGAGACCCCAAGAGGGGTCTCTATGTCAGAGTAAAGAATTGAGATCCCAGACTGCAGGCACAGTTTTCAATAGAGGAATACCCTGCTCATGTCTGTGTTTCACTGTGGAACCAGTGTGGTGGGCAGATGGAAGGGCTAACAGGCAAACTGAAGACAGAGAAAACATTTAAGATGCCAGTGTATATATCCTGATGAATTGTCATAGAGACCTTCAGGTTTTTAAATTTTTTAAAAAATTTAAATTTTTTTTTTATTTTTTGGTACCAAGGATCAAACTCAGGAACTTGCACTTGCCAGGCAGGCATCGTGCCACTGATATACATCCCCAGCCCTGAGACCTAAGTTTAGAACAGCAAGAGGATAATAAGAAGGGTAACCTATTATAGATACTATGGATTAGATGGAGAATGTAATGAAAGCAGGAAAAAGCTGTCATAAACATGTTGAGCAGTGATGACAGAAGGAAAGACAGAAATAAAAAGAAACGATTGTTTTTGTAAATATCACATTTGAGGTACTGATGTGAATATAGAGATTCTTACCATACATTATTCTTTTTGCTGCATTTATTCTCATGATACTTCTATATATATTCTCTTTGATTTTATTGAATAATGGTTATATTTAAAGTACAGATCTAAATTTGTTGGATTAATGGCTTTATGTGTTATGAGTAATTAGATCCCAAATGTATAGATTTTGTAATCCATTACTGTTTTTGTTACTTTTTCTTCTTGCTGAGACAAAGGACTTGACACCCAAAGTTAAAGAAGGAAAGGTTTATTTTAGCTCACAAGGTTTCAGTCCATTATTGGCTGGCTCCAAAGCAAGGTGGAATGGCTGAGGGGCATCACAGAGAAGAAACAGTTCATGGGTTGAAGGCAGAAGGCAGGAGGCAACAAAAACAGCAAGCAGCAAGTGATGGCAACAGCCCTGTTTTTGTCCCTTACAGTCTGTCCAGTCTACATGCCTTTAGGGATGGTATCACTCACACCCAGGATGGGCCTTCCATTATCCACACCCAGAACTATTCCAAATCAATGGTAATCACACACCCTTAATCCCAACATCACACACTCTAGATCCAGCCACCTCTGAAAAGCCTCACCTATGGCTCCATGAGGCTTTTGGGACATCTAGACACAACCCAAAACAAGTATATTTGGTGAAAAAAAAAGTCAGAAACTTGAAAGTCCCTCAAGATGTGACTTTGGATGTGGTTTACATGGAAATAACTCAAGCCACAGAAGTGGCGAAAAAAAATGTTAAAAAAAGAAATTTTCAGAGTAAAAGGAGTTGGAGATGAGGAAGAAGTAGAGTGTGGATCAATTATTTTTTGAGAAGCTTAATGGTCAATGGTTAAATGTGTGAAAAACTTAAGGGTCTGTGCAGAATTGTAATTTTACTTTCTTTTAAGGAAAAAGGCATTTTGAACTTATCTTATGGCTAAAAGTAAGAAGTCAATGAAAGAATATTTGAATATATAAAATATAGGAATGTAAGATGTTTTTAAATAATATCGTTCTGAATAGTTTAAAAAGAAATAGAAGGTTTAGCCTCAAGGAAAAAACCACTCAGGCTTTCCAACTTATTTTGAGTCTTGTTTGAGTCTGTTCATGTTTGGATATACAAAATGATAAAGGGTTAACACATTAATTGTGAATTTTCTCTTAATTTTTTAACTTTTAAAAAGAGCATAGCACTCTCATTTTTGTCATGTGCTGTTATACAACTCAAGACTATCCCACTCAAATACACACTGTTATATATTTCATAAAACCTTACATTTATTAAAGGATGTCCCAAGCCAATGTTTAGAAGGATAATAAATAGTTCATCCAGGTTTATTAAATTCTACTAATATTCTATTTCATAATATACAAGATCAACTTATACAAACCCATAGGAAAACACAAAATAGTCATTTGCCCTTTTTACTTCAGACCTTGAAGTACTTTATTGACACCTTTCTCTGTGTGTGTTGCAGGGCTGCCAATTTATATTTCCTCTTCCTTGTTGTCCTGAACTGGGTGCCTTTGGTAGAAGCCTTCCAAAAGGAAATTACCATGTTGCCTCTGGTGGTGGTCCTCACAATTATTGCGATTAAAGATGGCTTGGAAGATTATCAAAAATACACAATTGATAAACACATCAACAATTTAGTGACTAAAGTTTACAGTAGGTAAGTACAATGGACTTTCCATAAGGAATATACACATGTCATTTAGAAATGTGTTACTTTTTTACCCCCTTGGTGTGGCCAGGACCCTTTTTGAATTGTTGCTTACAACTAATATTTCTTAAAATCTGACAGTGAAGTCAAGTCAGCTGTCAGAGGCAAACAAAAGTGTATAAGCCACTGTCCACCCAGGACTTGACAAAAGTTTCTATGACTCATGTATAATGGAATTCAAAGAATTAAATTTCAAATCCTAAGAAGAAAAGGAAGCAGGTAATGTTCAATTCTAGATGTCATAATCTAAGATTAGGAAGAGGATGGGATATAAATAACAAAAATTAACTTGAATGGATATGAAAAAAATAGAATAGGATATGAAAAGAGAAGACAGGAGCTACTTACAGAGGAAAAGGATGGTGAAAAGTGAAGTCTTTTTTTGGTGCATGAAACTTCAGTCATTCCAGTGTAGCAAAACAGCATTTATAAGAGGAAATGCATTTATGAGCATATTTTCCTTTTGGAGATTTTTACTTCCAGTATTTATGAAATAGAAAGTCTAGTGAAGAATAAACTCAGTTAAAATGAATGTCGAACCATAATGCATGTTATATGCAGATCTTAGATTTTTATTTTTATATGTAGGTTAATACTTAGTAGTAAACAGTATGGGCAAGTATAATTTGTCTTTAATTTTATAAGAGTCATACCAGAAAAGGTTAGGAAAGGCATGTTTGAAGAAGTGATATTTAGGATAAAACTTGCAGAATTCTGGATTTTGTTCATTATTAGATTTTTTCAATAGCTTTCACAACATTTGTTTTAAAAATCTACCAAGAAAACAAAGAAAAGAACTATTTCTTCTTTAGGAGATGGTGTGATGTATTTGAATTAATTTAGTTAATTTTTCTTATACTTGTGTCTACTCTAAAGGGAATGAGAAAAACTGATATATTCTATCAAACAATGAAATATTATAAGTCCATGATTTGTATTTTAAGACCATAGGACATTTTACTATAACAATTCTATGAATCATTCACTAATATTTGTGTACTTCTTTTTTTTTCTTTTTTTTTTTGGTACTGGGGATTGAACTCGGGACCTTGCACTTGCAAGGCAGGCAGCAGAACCACTGAGCTAAATCCCCAGCCCTATTTGTGTACTTCTAATAAACCAGGGAAAGAGGTAAAAGGTTAATACAGATTTTTACCTTAAAACAATAGCTGTAAGAAATAAAATTTAAAATTATTATATAATGAGCAAAGTCCAGATTTGGTCTTATTTTAAGATTACTCCCACACTAACAAATTTAGCAAATGGAAAGAATGCTTATTATATATACTTCAACATATAGATTCTTATATACAAATAATTGCTTATTTTTAGTGCTAGTTTACAGGATGGATTAGACCATGTTGTCATATGTGCTTATATGCTTCTCTAGGTTTTTCTAAAGTATTTTAATTCTAATTATCTCACTTAGTATCTGTGTAACCCTGGGTAAAATATATAAATTATCATCTAAATATGCAGTTTCCTTTATTATGAATACAATGATAAGGCAGCAAGCATCATAACTAAGCCTCTTAAGTATTAAATAAAAATTAGTCATCAAGATTATTATTGCAGCTTAATAATAACTACTAATCAACATTTGAGAATTTTTAATAACATTGTACTTTTTTTAGATATTAAAATTGCCCAATAGGAAGCGTAGTATCTTTTTCCTCAGGTGTCCTTTTAGATATAGTCCAGCTCTACTTTGGATAATTTTGCACATAAACTTAGGAAGATCTTTACTATCCTAGTCATTTATTTAAAGTCATTTCTGGGCTGAGGATTTAGCTCAGTGGTTCTGGTGCCAGCTTCGCAAGCCCAAGGTCCCGAGTTCAATCCCTGGTACCAAAAATAAATAAATAAATAAAAGAAAATAAAGTCGATTCTAAGATATCAGTTTAAATTGCATTTCATTAGAGATTTGGATAATTTTAGGTATTTAAATCTATATTCTATGTAATTCACTTTCGTTCATTGCTGCAGAAGAAATAATGCTTGTATTTCCCCCCAGTTGTTCTTGGAACAATTATGATAATCTTATAAAGAAATAAAGGTAGGCTATAAAAACTGTCCCTGTTGATTTAAATATGGTAACTTAAATTCCTGGGAATACAAAGAAATCACTTAAGAGAACAAATTATTTCTCAGAACATTGAGAGTGAAAGGGGCTATTAAATTTAGGAAGCCTTTGGAAGAAGAATATTAGCATTTCTATGCTGATAATTTGGTTCTTACTTGCAATATGTGGTCTTTTACAAAGTACTTAATTTCTATGAGTAAACATCATTTGAAATAGCAAACATTAACTTAGAAATTAACATTTAAACTCTATCATACCCCAATTAAATTAGAATGATCTGGTATAGAAATCTAACTTTCTTAAGATTGCCTTTAAAATAGAACCCATTTGAAAGGTTTTAAGGTTTTTCATAATAGAAAATAGAAATGTCTTGAAAATCACACCATTAATCATTCAGCAAATTTGAACATCTACTATGTACTTGGTGCCAAGAGATTTAGAGATATAAACAAGAAATAGATATAAACAGATATAAACAAGAAACAGATACACTGCCTGCCCTCAAATGGTGAACATTATTGTTCCACCATGTCACCATGTTGTTAATGTAAGAAGTTTCAAACACTAGCTAATCTTATTAGAGTACTATGTGATAAATGTATAAAATCCCATGATTTTTGAAATTATTCCAAATATCAGTGGTCTTCTAAGATAGTGAACTTTGTGTGTGGCTTTTGAAAACACAATGGTTCAAATTCACTTTTTAACACACTATTACCCAGGTTTCTTTTGGTGTCTTCAGAAGTGATGGTAGCTGAAAGGAATGAGTGCTTAAGGGGATGGACTCTGCAGTGACCAGCCTTGCTTCAAATCCCAGGGCCACTTAGCCCACTGTGTGACCATAAGCAAGTCACTTAGCTCATTAAGGACAATATTGACTTATTTATAAAAGGGTTCTCTTGTGTGTCCACAATACCAACCACAGAACATTGGTACAAAAATTAAATTAGTGGATATATTGAGAGCATCTTATTAATCTTAGCAGTTTTGTGTTCAAAGATAATTTGTTTATTATAAACTTATTATAATGTTGTGGAAACATACTTTAAAAATCAAAAAGAATGATTCATACTCCCACCTTTTCTCCCTTTAGATTTTTTTTTTTTAATTTCAGAGAAAGCATCTCAGTATGTAGTCCAGGTTGGCCTTGAACACACAGGACCCTGCTGCCTCATCTTCCCAAGTACAGGAATTACAAGCATGCACCACCATGCCCAGCTCTCTTTAAATTTTATAAAGGAAGAAGTAGATGCCCACATTCTTCACCCCTCATTTTTACTTCTTTCTCTATACCTTTACAATTTCCACCCAAGTGAAATCACCGTTAATAGTTGAATTTGTATTCTTAACTTTTCACCATGCTTATGTAACAGAACTGTTTAATACTGAACTCATAAAAAAGCAAAATGGACAGAGAAGTTTTCCTGAGAGAGGGGTTTCTTGTTGCTTCTCCATAGTTTCAATCGACTTTCCCCACTCTGTCTTCTATCTTCTACCTTGCTTGTCCATTACCTTCTTCCCTGTATCCTGTGTGCATGCCCAATTCTCTTCTCAGTATTTCTCTTTGACTTACCCTTTGCAGTAGCTACTTTCACCCTTTATTCTTCTGTGTAAAACTACTGGAATTATTCTACTCTGCAACTTCAGAGTATTCCCTGATTCACTGGAGGCCATATTTTCTCCTGTACACTCCCTATCAGCAATTTCATGTTACCAGCTTTCCTCAAGTTCAACAGACCTCCTAATAACCAGATACCATTGAACGCTTTGGTCCTTACTATAGAGATTTCCTCTGTGGCTTTTTGACTATGACTACTTCCTCTTTGAAATTTTCTTCTCTGACATCACTTCCTTTTGCATCTTTCATTTCTCCATCACCGTGAAGTTTCTTTTCCTAAGGAATCTTATATCCTTACCTAGTGTCAGTTGCTCTCTTTATACCTCAGACTTCCAAATCTGTATCTTTATTCATGAGCTCTAGATCAGAAATACCAAACTGCTAACATCTTCAACTGTATATCCCACGTTAAGTAAAAATTCAAACTGAATATGTTATGTCTCCTGTGATGCAACCAATTGCTTCTAAATCTGAGACATGGTGAAAGACACCACCCATTGCCCAATCATACAAGTTAGAAACCATAGTGTTTCTAACCATAGTGTGAAACCATTCTTGATAACTGATTTACATGGAGTAAATCAGAAAACCTGGTTGTCTCTGATACCTAAAGAATTCTTAACTTTATCTCCTTCTGTTCATCTGTGTTTCTACTGCTTTAATTCCAACTGTCCTCATCCCTCCCTTGAATCATTTCAGTAATTTTACATTGATCTCTTGGTTGTTTTTATTGCTAACTAGGCTGCTGCCAAACAACTTATCCATTATGTTATAGGAGTGAGTAAACAGAAGTAGAATCACATCCTTCATCTTGTGTACTTTTAGGGACACTCCACTTTCTGTGGAATGTAATCCCTACTCCTAGCTATGTCATACAGGACAGAACTTTCAAAATATGATTTCTGTCTGCTTTTTCATCTTTTATTACATCCCTTCATGAAAGAATGAACTAGTATGCAGAGACACTAGGGAAAAGTTTGGAAAAGACAAAATGAGTGATTGATTTGCCTGTCTCCAGAAACTAACAAACTCTTTAGGTGATCAAGGATTCCTTTCACTTGGATCCAAACTACATTAAGTTTTGGGAAACTATATCCTGAAAATGTCTTTCATTACATTTGTTTAGCCCTTCAAGCTAAATATTTCTTAAAATGTCTGATATACTTTGTATGGCAAAAGATGTACAAGTATTGGTAGCATTCCATTTAATTTAATTAAACATTTTTAATGTGTCATACAGTTTTGAAAATGTTAGACAGTGAATGTGAATATTTAGCTCCATAAATATGTATATCCCAAAAAATAAATAACTTTTCTTTTAAAATAAGCATATTTAGTGACTGGGATATATATATATATATAATATATATATAATATATATTACATATATTATATATATATTATATATATTAATATATATTATATATATTTTATATATATTTATATATTTTATATATATTTATATATATATCTAGGAGACAGTGGAGAAATGTGGTAGATCTTTATCATATATGTTTGTTACAGACATTGTATGTGAAATGCTATTGAACTGGCTGATAGAACATTCTACTGTACACATTTCCTCATTCTCCTCTAAGGAAAATGCTTCAAAGAGCATAATGAATGTTTTTGTCCTGAAAGGCAAGAGAAGTTTGACAAGATCTTTGACATAAGACAGAATCTTTAACCTTAAATGATGTGTCTTTCCTTTAAAAAGATGCTTAGAATGCAAAAACTGTACTTTGGAAAGGGATCAAATTTGCCATTCTCCTTTCCAAGAATCAGCTGCAGTAGACTCAGGACTCTTAAGCAACACGGTTGACCTTCAGTATCTGAGAAGGAAGGGGCTGAGTGGGATTGGTCCTAGGATACCACGGAGACGTGGCAGTCCCTCAGATAAAACGTGTAGTGTTGCACATAACCTGCTCACTTCATCCTGTACACTCTAAATCATCTCTAGAGTACCAATGGTACATAAAAAATGCTAATGCTATGTAAATGGTTGTTACACTGTATTATTTCTGGAATAATAAGAAAAAGACAGTGCATGTTCAATACTGGCATAATTTTTTAAATAAACATTTTCAACCTATCATTGGTTGAATCCTCCAATGTGGAACCTATAGATATGGAGAGCTGACTTTATTCCAATTAAATGATAATTAGAGATGTCAATATGGTGGTACAATGATTTTTAAAATGTTGTCTTCTGATATTTTATTTCATTATGTTTTGCTCAATTAGCTGTCCTATCTCATGATGGGACGCTCTCTCAGAGCACAGGATATGATCTCTACCCCACACCCCCATTCTCTGACCAAAGAGCAACAGGCAGGAATTGCTCTGCATTATAAATGGCAACTTAATTTTATTCTACAATTGCACTAGAATAATGGATAATGGTTCAAAATCCTACAGGCAAAAAAGAACTGAAAAATATGGCTTACTAACTAAAGTTTCAGATGAAGCATTTGCAGAATTTAGGCTTTACCAATTCTGAGCTTCCCTTTTAGCATCTAATATAGACTAAAATTCACCCTGATAGTTTAAACATACTGCAGTTATCCACTAAAATAAAAAAGTGGGATTGTTTATGTTTTCAGCTGAATGTATTTTTAAAATTTTCTCTTTTCAATTTTAGGAAAGAGAAAAAATATATAGACTGTTGCTGGAAAGATGTCACCGTCGGGGACTTCATTCGCCTCTCCTGTAATGAGATCATTCCTGCAGATTTGGTCTTACTCTTTTCCACCGATCCCGATGGAATCTGTCACATCGAGACTTCCGGTCTTGATGGAGAGAGCAATTTAAAACAGAGGCAGGTGGTACGGGGTTATGCAGAGCAGGTAAATAATGTCTTCTCAGCTGGTGATTTATTAACTGTTTTTTTCCAGAAAATGGCTGAGCTCATTTCCACAATACAAATAGAGATTTTTAAATTCATTTTCACCACTGACAAAATAGAATCTCTGAAGGTTTAATCTATTTTTCAGATAACAGTGGATGTGTATTATACTTTTTAGATAATAGGATAATATGATTTTGAAGATCAAACACTTCATTCTGGCCATGATATTTGTTGCAACAGAATTATAAGAAACTGACAGAGTTAATCTGCAACTTGGGAAATTATTTTGGAATAGAAATAATCACCTACTAATTTGCTTTTCTTAATCTTGGATTTCATAGCTCATATTTTGTTGATGGTTGCTCCTAAAAATCTGCATTACTTACATGCATTTTCAAACTTTTGTGGTTTGTCATGCCATACAATTTCTGGACCTTTGGCTGCACTGTGCTGAAGGAAGCAAGAACTTTGAAGATAGATTGACGTGAATTTGAATGAATCTCAGCTCTGCTGTTAATTACTGTGTGGCTTTGGGGAACTCAAACACTTTATGCCTCCATTTTACCTTAAAACAGAAATTATATCTCCTTCATAAAGCAGTTGTAAGACTCATGTAAAAACAGCACACACAGTGTACAATGACTATTTTCCCTCCTCTTTTTGTGGAAGCACTTTAGATGAAGTATTTAAAATGTAATAGTCTTTTTATCTTGACTATTATTAAGTTGAATTTTCTTTATCATGTACTGGTGAATAAAAAATGATTTGAGCCTCATAATACTATTATCTTTAATAGATTTCATCTTACCACTTGGACCCATCTTTCTACCTATGGATTTCATTGAGATCCTCTATGAATGATATGCTCTTGCACTAGTGTCACTGTAACTAATTAGCAGTCCTGTACGTAAGATGATGGTAAAAAGTTTTGCATGACTCAAAATGTTGTAATACCACTACATGCCTACTTTGAGGTTGATGCCAGTTGATTAAATTAAAGCGTGTTTGTGTTCAATTAAGGATGAGAAGTCTAGAATCTAATGATCTGAATGGTAGTTTTGATCTAAACACCTTTTGAGAATCTTAGAAAATTCTTATATCTGTCTGTCCACATCTGTTATTTAGGTTGAATTATGATACCTATCTCATGGGGTTGTGAAAAAGAAATTAGTACATCAATTTAAAGTGCATGATAGAGATTTCAACATATCAAAATGACTCACTAAACATTATTAGCAAACTAAATCATGTAACTCACATTTTCCATGTTTACTGTGATATACATTTTTCTATTTTATGAGCTAAATTAATATCAATAGTATTTTTTTAGCCACAAAGCCACATAAAAATAGAACAAAATGCAAAAAGTTGATGTGGCTTATTCTTAATGAATCCACAGTTTATAAGTGTTTTTCTTATGTATCCATTGCTTTCATAAAACATTCCAAAATTATCTGCTTGACCCATTAGAGAATTTTGTGAGATAATGATGCCCTGCTTATTTTTTAATTTTTAGCTATAAAATCTGGCTGAGTAGAATGCATGTACATTTAAAATATCTACGTATTCTCTCAAACTCAGGAACTTTCTGTGTTAACAAGAAAAATATTTTCAGTGCTTTATTGATTAAAAAAAGTATTTAATCTATGAGTAGAAGCCCTCTTCACAGTCCCAGATGGACTAATATCTGATTCCCATCACCTACAGATGTTAGAGCTCTAGGACTATTCATGTCTCAGTTAGGATCCCAGAATTATGCCTATATTTTCTCTTATCTGGGCAATTTATGTCATAAATCTTAATGGCCAAAAAAGTCTTAATACTATCCCAAGGATTGGGGAAAGTAATAAAATACTTGAATATCAAAGGCTTAATCTTGAATTCTTTTTTGTGATTCTTTTAAAAAATTTTTAGGACTCTGAAGTTGACCCTGAGAAGTTCTCCAGTAGGATAGAATGTGAAAGTCCAAACAATGACCTCAACAGATTCCAAGGCTTCCTGTGAGTGGTACCTGGCCTACGTTTGTGAGCACGAATGGGGTCCTTAACTGCGTAAACTTTTGTGTATTTATACCCAAGTTAAATCGTTAGATGCCATAAGTTTAGCCACCTATAAAATTGGCTTATCTTAATCATCTGATAGGTATAATTTTGGGGGTTTTGGATTGCTTTTGGGGGGGTGCTTCATTATGTGGTTTTTTTGGAAGCAAAACATTTATTGGTACATTTTAGATATACATAATGATAGCACTCATCACAGAGAATTTCCCCATTCCCTCTCCTCCCCTCAACCCCCTCCCCTCCCATATACAAAAGCTTTGTTTCCATTTTTTTCCTTCTATTTTCACTTTTTTTTTTTTGTCCCTTCCTTCTCCCCCCCACCTCCACCTTGTTTCCCTTCCCATTTGGACATTTTTGCCCATTTCTCAATATCTATTATACATTTTGGTCTTTATTTCCAGGTTCAGTTTTTCACACCAGAAAAACCAAGCAGTATTTAAACATGTGTGTCTGATTTATTTCTCTTAAGTGTATGGTTCTCAAAGTGCATCCGTTTAGCTATAAATGTCTCAAGTTCATCCTTCTTTGTGGCAGAATAGTACTCCATTATATGAAAAAAACACATTTTCTTTATTGTAGGTCAATGGGCATTTAGGCTGTTTCCAAGATTTAGCTATTACAAAGTGTGATGCTATAAACATAGGTGTGCATATATCACTGTGGTATGATGCTTTCAATTCTTTCGGGAAGATACCAAGAAAGGGAATAGCTGGGTCTATTTTTAGTTCTTTGAGAAATCTCCACATTGATTTCTACAGTGGTTGCACCAGTCTACACTCCCACCAACAGTAGAGAAAGGTTCTTTCTCCCCTAAAATCCAGCCAGCATTTGTTATTGGTTGATTTCATGATAGCAGTCATTCTTTCTGGAGTGAGATGGAATCTCAAGGTTGTTTTAATTCACATTTCTCAAACAACCAGTGATGTTGAACATTTTTTCATACATTTATTTGCCATTTGTACTTCTTCATCTGAGAAGTATATATTTATTTCAGATGCCCATTTTTGAATTGGGTCTTTAAATTTGGGGCTCCGATTTTTTTAAGTTCTTTATATATTCTAGATAGTAGTCTTTTATCTGACTAATAGCTGGAAAAATTTCTTCCCCCACACTGTAGGTTGTCTCTTCACTTTGTTGGTGGTTTCTCTTGCTGTGCAAAAGCTTTTCAATAAGATGAGATCCAGGTTATTGATTCTTTGTTGATTCTTCTTCCTGTGTGATCAGGGTTTTATTCACCAAGTCTTTGCCTTCACCAATGTCTTTGAGAGTTCTACCTATTGTATATCCCAGCTGATTAAGTGTTTCTGTTTTAATATTTAGACCTTTGATCCTTTTTTATTTTAGTTTAGTGTATGGTGAAAGATATGGGTCTGCTTATCTATATATATATATATATTTAAAACAACAGCAACAATAAAACCTTGATCTTATCACGATCCTAGAATTTCTTTCAGTGGTACAAGAATATCTTACACAGTGACCCTATTAAGCCCTGGGCATATTAATGGTGTCTGGACAGAACTGATAAATTATATGTTAGGGTGAGGTTCTCCTTCAGATTTAAAATAGCAGGCAGACAATTCTGGTTGGCAAAAATTAGCCAATGATTTGAAAAGATGTCTAAGAAAGATTATGAGAAGCCATGACAATATTCATTCTGGAGGCTTCCTGTGACATCCACATTCTGTTTCAAAGTCAGCTAGAATTTGGGATCTTGACTTACTTTAAGCTTGACTTCTTCCACTTAAATGCATTATGACTCTGAGCCAACTTACTTACTTTCTTTGATCCTTAGTTTCCTGGCTTTTGCAAGGAGACAATTAGACCTACTTCACAGTAGTAATTCATAGGAAGAGAAAAATTTCCAACTCATTTTATATTAGTACATATTTGCTGTCCATGATGTTTACATTAATCTTAAAAAGCAGGTACATGTACTTAGCAAATCTTGATTCTTTTTATACATCTTCTCCTCCATATCTTCCTCTCTCCCTCTGTCTCTGGATCCCTTCCCCTATTTTCATTCTTTTTCTTTAGTTAATGTTTGCAACATATGATTACATTTATTGTAGGCAGTTGGTACACATACATGATACATTTTAAATCTTTTTACACCCCCAGCCCTGTGCTCTGTCTCTTGCTGTTCCCCTTTCCATTTGCATAAGATCTACCTTTTTGATTCCTTCTATCAATCATTTTTTTAATCAATCTTTTATTTTGCTCTTTACTTTGTTTGTACATTGAATTACTCAAATGAGAGAAAACATTTGGTATTTAAGTTTGTGTGTCTGGTTTATTTCACTTAGCATTTTGTTTTAAAGTGTATCCATTTTCCTAAAAATGTTTCAAATTTATTCTTCTTTATAGCCAAGTAATATTCCATTACATACAGACACTACATTTTCTTTGTTCAGTCATTTGTTGATGGATACATAGGCCACTTCCAAGGCTGAACTATTATGAATTGTGCTGTTATGAACATTAGTATACATATATCACTGTAACATGGTGTCTTTGATTCTTTGGGAAGATACCTAGAAGATGAACAGCTGGGTCAATGGAATTTCTATTTTTAGTTTTTTGAGAAATCTTCACACTGATTTACCCAGTGGTTGTACCATTTTACCCTCCCACCAACAATTTAGAAAGGTTTGTCATTTATTATAGCCATGCCAGCATTTGTTATCATTTGGTTTCTTGATGATTGCCATTCTTTCTCATTTTTTGAGACTGGAATTATCCTGATCTCATTATCCTAATACTAAAAGCATAAAAAAAACATACAAGGAAAAAGCAATATTCATCATGAACATAAATGCAAACATTCTACACAAATTTTTAGCAAATCAAATCCAACAGTTATAAAAAAAGATAATACATCATGACCTAGACTTATCCAAAATTTTATGGTTGGTTTAATATTTAAAATCAAATGGAGTAATTCACTTTATTAACACTACATTGTCAGACTATACTAAACAAATGAAAAAAAGAAAAACCAGATAATCATCTCACAGATGTAGAGAAAGCCTTTCACCAAGTCTAATTTCCATTTCTGCAAACGGGAAACAAAAGGGGGCTTGTTCAACTTAATGAAAGGTATCTATTAAAAAAAAACTTACAGGGGCTGGGGATTTAGTTCAGTGGTTTCACCGCCTGCTGTGCAAGTGCAAGGACCTGAGTTCGATCCCCGGTACCAAAAAAAAAAAAACAACAAAAAAAAAACCTTACAGCTAGCATCATACAGTGGTGAAAAACTAAAGTGTGGCCCCTAAGATCAGGAATGAGATGTGGATGTTTGCTATCACTGTTTCTATTAGAGATCATACTGAGGTTCTAGCTAACACATTCAGTCAGAAAAAGGAAATAGAAGGCATCAAATAAGAGAGAGAGAGAGAGACTTTGAATGGATGGTGTGATGGTCTTTATAGAAAATCTGATGAAGTCCATAGATTTCAAGAAAGCTACAAAAAATGAGAACTAATAAGTGAGTTTAGCAATGTTGCACAATCAAGATAAACTAAAATCTATTACATTTTTATGCTAACAATGAGCTATCAGATATTGAAATTTTAAAAATACAATTTATAATAATATCAGACAAAGTAAAATAAAAGACCTGTACATGGAAAACCACTATAGACTTCTGAGAGAAATTAAAGACCTACATAAGTGAAGAGATATATACTGTTCCTGGGTCAAGACTCAACATTGTTATGATGTCAGTTTTCTCCCAAACTGATCTATTATTCAGTGCAATATCAATCAAAATCCTAGGCAACATTTTTTTGGAAATTAAATAGTTTATTCTAAAATTTATATGGAGATGTAGTGAGCCTACAATAATTAAAACAATTTTAAAAGAGAAGGAAAAAGTTAAGGATAGCACCATATGATTTCAAGACTTTTCATGAAAGTACGGGGTGCAAGACAGTGTCACTTTGGCATAAAGATAGACCAACGGATAAACATAAATGATTATAGAGTCAGAAATAGACCCACACATTTATAAGCAACTGATTTTTGACAAGGGTACAAAAGCAATTTAGTGGAGAAAGGCATGATCCTGGAACAGCTGGATATCTATATTTTTAAAAAAATTAATTTCAATCTATAGCTTTTCCCAGTCAAACACTACTTTAAATAGATACCCTAGATTTAATGTAAACTAAAATTATAAAGCTATTAGAAAAAATATACAAGAAATCTTTGCTACTTTGTGTCATACAACAATGTCTTACATATAACACCAAAAGCACCAGGCATGCATAACAGGACAAAAATCAACAGGTAAAAGACCTCATCAAAATTAAAAACTCTGGCTGAATAAATGATGCTGTTAAGAGAATGCAAAGACAAGTAACAAGGTGGGAGAGAATATTTGCGATGCATATATTTGACACAGGACTGATTGTTAGAATACCTGAACACCTTGCTGGCTTTCTGGCTCTACAAACTGTCACTTGCTTCTGGTTCCTGGACACTATGTTTATCTGCCTTTCAGTGGTCACATGTGACAGTATCCTCTGGTGTCAGTACGCTTCCCCATTTGCTGCCCTGCTTTCTGGTTCTGTTGGAGTGACCTTCCTGTTCAAATCCTAGATGTTGCCTTGCCCAGTGTTCAGACTGGCCTGGGTCTGTTGATGTCTATCCTAGTAGGTGACCTCAACAATTTCTAGAGGAACATTTAATAAGAGAATCCAGCCTAAATAGATACAGTGATTTTGTTGAGGAATTATTTTCATCCACCACAATAGCACTTTATTCTTTACCTGTTTTGTGCTCTGTTTCCAAAACCAACAAAATTGAGATGCTCAGCCTCAAGTAAATGACACTTTCTCTGATCTTCTTACTCTTGGTAAACCTGATATCCTCCCCTGTTTGTACCCACAGAAATCTATACACTCAATATTAGATTTCTATCATTGTAGCTATCATATCTTCATTAGTCTTACATTTTTCTATATCAAAAAACCCCTTTTAGACAATAGGAGCTGAGACTGTGTATGATTTTGGGGCACATAAAATAGATCTTACATGACTTCTTGAGTGGAGAGAGCATGTGACAGTGCTTCACACCTTCAGAGTACTAAATATCATACTTCTGTCAAGGGCATGTTTGTAGTTTGTAGCAAGTGCGCTAAAATAGAACCTGGCTTTGTCTAAAGGTGGTAACTTTAAAGTGAAATAATGGCAAAAAATAAGGCTTCTGCAGGAGGAAAGTTAATGCTAAGGAATTTTGGAAATGCTGCTTTTATGTGTTAAATCTGTTCCCATAAGGACTCTACAGAAAAAATGCCACATCAGTGAAAATTAGGTGATGCTTCCCTGGACAAGCTATGTGTAAAAGTGAGTGTTGGGACCTGATTTCTTCATCTCTATAACTGGGAGTTGAATTAAACTCAAGGACATGTCTATGGCTAATCACCTCTTTGTGCATAAGCTTGTGTAGTGCAGGAGTGGAAACAAATGCCTATTGTAAGAAAATACTTACAAACCATGGGAGTAAAATGACAATCTATTTTCTTCTTTCTTTGGGATATAAAACCTTCTCAAAGAGATTTTCTCTTCTTTGTAATTCCTGAGAGCAATGATAGCAGATGTACCAACAATTTTTACATATGCGAGAAGAAGCAACAACTTATACACTGAAGTATACTGCTTAGAAAACAATCAAATTTTAAAGCTGAAATTATGAGGACAAATTCAACATGAGTGAAAAATAGTATTTTTTGTTGTTTAAACATTCTAATAATTTTTCTCTGTGCTTTTTGTCACTAGTCAAGAGACTGCTTTGATCGTTTTTAAACTCTTTATCACAGAAATTTTGCAACATGCAAAAGTGGAAGAAAAAGTATGATGAACACCCAGAAGGCACTGCCCGGCCTTCACTGTTTTAGTCTTGGCAGCTTTGTTTAAGTGTCCTCCTTCTCCGTTCCCACTTCTGCATTGCACAATCTCCCTATAAATGTGTCATATGTGCACACAGCGCATAAAGACTTCAAAAACCACAGCACCATTATCGTACCCAAGGGAAATGGAACCATTGCTCACTCGCATGCCAGGACTTTGTTCAAATTTCCACAATTGTCTCAAAAATATTTTTAATACTTGTTTTATTCAAAACAGGACTGAAACAAGGTCTACAAATTACTTTTGGCCGATAAGTTCTCAAATTTCCTCTCCCCAAAAAGTGGCTCATTAGCTTATAAAAATGTATCTCTTCTGCACTGAGCTGATTGTCTCCTCCCTGTGCTGAGCTCCTCCCTTTCCCACCCCATCCCATTCATTTCTTGCATAAAACAGATCATTTTGCCCATGGAATTTACTATATTTTCAATTTGACAATACATCCTTGCACTGATGTTTTCTGGCCTCTTATGTTCTATCAGTTGACAAGGGTCACTTTTAGAATCCGGTGACCAAAGTGAATTTTTCTCCGTAGAAAATAATATACATAGATAAATGTATAAATGTGTACATACTTGGAGTATGGTGTATAATGCTAGAGGCTTCATCTCTGATGCCTTGATAAAGGCTTGTGGGGCCACTGCTTCCTTTCCCACACATCAGGAGGCTGGGAATTCCCTTGTCTCCTTGTCAGACTGGGGGCATTAACTTTACCCCTTCATTGTAAAGTTCCCTATCAGCTTTTCACCTAACTAATCAGTCCTGTGCTTTCAGCAAAGTTGAAAAGGAAAATTTTCTCATTCCATTAATAATTTTTCCCTCATTAACTGTTAACTGTGTACTAGAAATACAGTCTATGCTAGGGAAGCAGGTCCTTATTTGGAATATTTTTGAATATTTATAGTAATAGAAATTGATAAACAATGACTAATGAAAAGCAATGGGAGTTAGAAACTTGTGGTAGTGTTTTCCTAGCCAGTGCAAGTAACTGAAACCACAAAAGCAAATGAACCAGATTTGAAACCTTTCTGATGAACGGCCTAACTTTTTCCTCTGAGTAAGAAACATTCAAGAGGCTGATTTTTATGTTTATATCCCCACTTTTCCATTTTAAAATAAATTTCCATGCTGTCTTTCTTACAGAGAACATTCCAACAAACAGCGTGTGGGTCTCAGCAAAGAAAATTTACTACTCAGAGGATGCACTATTAGAAATACAGAGTCTGTCGTGGGGATTGTGGTTTATGCAGGTTGGTTATACACCTAATTTGCATCACTGTTTCCTCCATGCTTTTCTGTAAGTTACAATTTTTTAACTCATTCAAAATGCAATCTACAGAAGCAGAAAGTAAATTTTGTCTTGATAGACTGAATCAGTGATCTCTCTTTTTTTAATGAGTCACAAAACCAGACAAATATATAACTTACAAATATATAACTGTCTTAGCCAATTGTTGGCCAGAGTAATTTTTCAATATGATATTGACTACTGAATTTTAATTTATACATTTTCTGATACACTCTGTTTCCTGTGAAGGACATGAAACCAAAGCAATGCTGAACAATCCGGGGCCACGCTATAAACGTAGCAAATTAGAAAGAAGAGCAAATACAGATGTCCTCTGGTGTGTCCTGCTTCTGGTTATAATGTGTTTAACTGGTGCACTGGGTAGGTAAAGTAAAATATTAATTTTTAAGTTAATATTAAATTTATTATTTTAATTAATAAAGTAAAATGTTAATTTTTTCAAAACAATATTTGAGAATGTTCGACTTCAATAAGGGATACTTCAATTGTTGGTATTTTTTTCCTTATGCCCTTATCTATCATACTCAGACCTGAAAAACATTATTTTTGACTATATCCATTTATACTTTGCCACAGGACGTAGGATGAGATTTAGAGAAAGAGAGAAAGGAACAGGAGATTGTGTAGCTTTTTGAAGTTGAATGTGTTTCCAAAAACAAACAATTGATATTCATCCAAAATAAATACTCTCATCACTCCTTCTTGAGTAACAAGTTTTACATTTACATAACATATATATAACATTCTTTTCATCTCTATGTATTTTTTGAAAGGTCATGGAATCTGGTTGAGCAGGTATGAAAATGTGCTCTTTTTTAACATCCCTGAGCCTGATGGACATATCATATCACCGACATTGGCAGGATTCTATATGTTTTGGACCATGATCATTTTGTTACAGGTAATTTCCATCCAGCTTATAGAATTTTAAGATCTCTCATGTTATCCAGCTATTCACTTTCTTTAACTTACTTTAATATTTTTAAAATTTTTTGACTCCTCAGGTCTTGATTCCCATTTCTCTTTATGTTTCCATTGAAATTGTGAAGCTTGGGCAAATATATTTCATTCAAAGTGATGTGGATTTCTACAGTGAGAAAATGGATTCTACTGTACAGTGCCGAGCCCTGAACATTGCAGAGGATCTTGGACAGATTCAGTACCTCTTTTCTGATAAGACAGGAACCCTCACTGAGAATAAGATGGTTTTCCGAAGGTGCAGTGTGGCAGGATTTGATTATTGCCATGAAGAAAATGGTGAGTGTTGGGTTTGTACAAAAATCACTATCATTTATCCTTTTTGTTAACTACTTAAATGCTCGATAATTTTAGCATAGAGGTGCTGTATTTAAACTTTGACTACTGAATTTATCCAAATAGGCTTTATGTTACATTCTTGTTCCTTTAAAAATCAGTAAGTACTAAGTGATATACTACTAAATGATACAATGATCTAAACAGTAAATGATAAACAAATACTAAGTGATTCAGTGAAATAGATAAACTTTTGATTATCACTTTGTCATTTAGAATTTGTATCATTTGCTATCATTAAGTATTTCTCTCATATTGTATACTACTCCTATCATACAATTTAATGTTTGTATCATCTTGCAAATTTATAGTATTTGAAGCATTTCATATTGTATCATTCAATATTTGTACCATTGTATCATTTGGTATTTGTTTTTCATTAATATCGCCTGCTTAATAAATATATGTTTGACAGTATAAAAAAAGTTAGTAGGTAAAAGTCACATCAAGGAGTCTGCTGCTATGATTTCTTTGAAAGAAGAGTGAGTTTTTGGGGGGTTTTTTTTGGTACCAGGGATCAAACTCAGGCCCTTGGGCTTGTGAGGCAGGCAGTGGAACCACTGAACTAAATCCCTGGCCCTAAAGAAGAGTGATTTTAATTTGCATTTCTCTTGTGGCCAGTGTTGATGAGCATTATTTCATGTATCTATTGGCCATTTATACTTCTTCTACAAAGTGTGTATTCATTTTGTTTGCTCATTTTTTGATTGGACCTTTTATTTTGGGGAGTCTAGTTTTTGAGTCCTTTAGAGCAAAATAGAAGAGAGATAAATATGAAGTAGACAGAAGTTCAAATTCTTCCCCAAATTATATATTCTGTTGTTTAAAAATATTTCAGTGTATATGCTAATTTGTTTCATTTATACTGAAAGTTTATCTTAGTTTGTTGAAAAGAAATTTTGTGTTATCTGACTTTTTCTTCTTTATAAGATTTTTTTTGGGGGGGGTTGTGTTGTTCTCAGTAACTACTTTGAAGATAATAATACACAATGTAATAACTATTGTTGTTCTCTTATTATTTGGCTATAAAATGTTTTAATTTTTCACAAGATAATAAAAAAGAAGAGTAAATTACCAGTGGAGGAAGGAGGTTTGGATTAAAATGATAATGATACTGCACTACAGGTACTTCTTTGGCTCTAATGTAACTATGGGCCATCTCTGAAAGATATTTTGAAAACAATTCTAAAGGAACTCTAAATTCCTTTAAGCCCTGTCATTTGGCCCCTAGATAGCCACTGATGTTTGGTTAAGAACTGAACTTCTAATTCTAAGGAAGTGAAGTTTCAAATTCCAAGTTTTTTTTTAAGAATTGAACTTTGTCAATTTTGTTCTTTTTTTCCAATTTTGTTCTTTATAAAAGTAGCATGTGCTCCGGATAGCAAATTATCAAATCCATTTAAAAACCCTACTCTTGAGAAGTTAATCACTATTAACAGTTGGTGAACATATAACCATCCATTTGTGCATATTTCCCTACATATGTGAATGTTTTAGTATATTTGCACATTACTCTGTTATCAATCAGAATGTATTATAGTAGTGTTTTAAAATTTACTTCTTTTACTAAACAATGTATCATGGATTTTTCTCAATGTCAATTCATAATGATATGAATTGCATAGTCTTCCACTTATAATATTTGATCAAGCTTACTTTGCTATTCTTAGAGGTGGCCACTTCATTTGTTACCAATTGAATATCTCTTACTTGAAATGCTTAGAAGAAAAGATGTTTTGGATTTCATATTTTTGGGGGGCAGCTTGGAATACTTTCATATAAATAATGTTCTATCTTGTATATGAGACCCAAGTCTGTGAACATACACATCTTGCCCAAGTGAGTTTCTCTTCTATGTACCTTCAATGCAGAGACAAAGCCAAGTGACTAGAATTAATTATTCCTGAATGATATAATTGATAAGATACCTGTTTGGGAACCATGGAGGCTTGTGCTACTAGAAGGTGCTAACTTTGCCTATGAACACTTCTCTACCATAGACACGTTCAGAGCTTGTGGTCTCTTTTATGTAGTGGTTTTAAGACAAGTGTGCATGCACACACACACACACACCTGCACAAAAAAAGGAAATGGGGGTAATAGTAAAAGCCAGTTCATTCCAGAACTTAATTCTGAGACCTATTATTTTCATTAAATGAAAACTATATAGCAGTGTATCTGTGTTTTATTGACTAGTGCCTCAGGACTTTCTAGCAAAAGTATTGCTTATGAGCTCATTCTGTAAAGACTATTGCTGCTTGGAAATAACCCTTTACACAGATGAAACTGAACTAAACACATCTGATAGCACCATTATATATTTTAGCAACTTGCAAGTGTGGTCCATGTACTAACAGCATCAGCAACACCTGGGAGTGTATTAGAAATACAGTAATTCAGGTTCCCTTTGGAGCTTCAATTAAAATCTGCATTTTAATAATACCCAAGGTGATTAATTTACATATTAAAAATAAAAATTCTTTTAAAAACTGCTGAAGAAAATACCACTTAGAAAATAAATTTTTCTTTGTAGGATAGTTGTAGATTTACAGAAAAATACAGAGAAATACAGAGATCTAGTACACCCTCATACTATCTCCCCTGTTGTTAAAACTAATCATGTGATACATTTATCCTAAGTAATAAGTGAATATTGATGCATCATTTTTAGTTGAAAAATCCATTCTTTATCAGCATTTCTTTAGTTTTGCCTAATGTCTTTTTATATTCCAGTATGACATCTAACAGTCATTATTTAGGCTCCTCTGGACTTGACAGTTCCTTAGACTTTTTTCTTTTGGATGCACTTAACAGCATTGAGGGACACTATTGTGGAATTTTGTAGAATGTTCCTTCATTTTGTCTTTCTAGAAAATGCCTTCATGGTGGGAAATTTGTGAATCTATTGTACATGGGAACCTATTGTACTTCTCAAGAACAAGGATTTTGAAATCAGGCCTCCTAATACTGAATCTTATTTCTACAGCTTACAAATGTGACCATGGACAAGTTATCTAATTTCTTAGAACCTCAGCTTTTAAAAGGCTTTGATAATGTGATCTACTTCTTTGGTTAAGAGACAAGATCATTCATGTGAAGGCACTCAAAACATGGCATAGTGTAAGTCACCCATGAGTAGTAGCTGCTGTTACTGTTATTCTTCTAACTACTGTTATTAAAATGAGAAATAGGTCAGTTTCTGAAGGAGCTCAAAGTTGAATGTTGAAGGCAGATTAAAGTCAGTATTCTTAGTCCATGTTGTTTTGGTTTTCAAACAATTTTGGATATGGATTAAGGTTTGTGTCTTTAGGGTAGGAAGCCAGACATTCTTGGAATATTGGAAATGTATGGAGAATTAATTTAGAACAAGAGGTTTGGATGTCAATGATACATGAATGATACAGTCGGAGGAAGCTTTGCTGAGTGTACTGTTTAGAAACAGGTGAAAGCTAGAATCCTAGAGATGTTTGGGAAATTAGTTCACAGTCAAAGGTTGGATAGAAAATCTGTGGATGATCCAGTTGAAGGAAGCTCATCTGAGTGTGTCATTTTTGGCCCTGTAGAGACCGTGCCCAATGGTCTTGTGCCCACGCGTTCCAGATATAACATCAATGCAAGTAATATGCAATAAATAGGTTTTGAAAAGGGGATGGGAAAAGAAGATAGATCTGGGTTTAAGGGAAATAGATAAAGTAGATAATTTGATACAACACTCAAGATCTTCCTACAGACACAGAATAGATTACAAACATTGTATGTTTTCCCAGATGATTCATAAAGTAAGAATTCCTGGCTACTTTGAAGCATTCATGGAACCAATTAGAACCTACTTTAAAAGAAGTATGAAATTTTCATTACTATTTGAAAAATTTTGCTTATTTTTTTTTTGCACTTTATTAAATTCTTTTATTGGTACATTGTAGGTATACAACACAATTACATTTCTCATTGGGAATTGTACCTTCACATAATGCATCTTGGTTCTTATTTTTTCCCCATTCCTAGCCCTCCCTTCACCCCCTCCACCCCTCCCTATTTACAAAGAC